GGAGCTGTATTATCTCATGTAGGCGTACTGTAACACTATAAAGTGCATTGTACTTCCGTTAGGTTATATTTGTGTATATACTTCAATGTTTAAGTTGATAGTAACTAATAGATAACATGTTCTGTAAATAATGACTAAGTTTTATACTGTATACGTATAGCTTATAACCTTCTAAGTACTAAGTATGCAAATTAATCAATAGAACTAAATTATTAACATCACATATAATAGGTATTGTAATACGAAAAAACATATGTTAATAAGCTTCGTCGAATCTCACTATTACTCGACATTACCATGATTGTTAAGTATATAATAGCATTTTGTATTTTTGTACATTTGTTAAGCTAGTCAGTAAAATATCAAAACTAAACTTAAAGCCTTTTATTTGATGACGTGATTATCATCTGCCTACTCTTGTCCAAATTTTATTTGGGATCGGCGCAGTAAGTATAATTGTTCCATTGTACTCTATCATTCGTCATCTTATTTTTACATTTTACAGTCCCTATCACTAACTCACTCACATAGTCCATCCACCTTTTCTCTGGTCCTCCGCTTCTTTGTACCCTTCAACTCCCATACCTAACACTTTCTTCGCAACATTTTCGTCATCTCTCCGAATATTTGACGAAGTGATTATAATATTTTACTACCAGGTAGCTGTATATATAAATAAGGAGTCACTTAGTATATTTTTCCTCTCAGAAAAACCTTTTAAAATTTTGCCCCGAGTGGGAATCGAACTAAGGAAGCGCTTTTCAAATTCCACGAAGTCGCGGTTTTCAACTAGTCAGAAATAAAAAGAAGACAGAAAACAAAAAGTGTTTAAGACGTTCAAAAATTTGGTAAATAAGGCTAAGTATGTATGTATTGAGTACTCTGTGTATTGAAGTACTATACCATTGGTTATTATGAGGTACTACCCTATGTATTGACGTACTTTGGCTAGTACTACGGTTTACTTAGGCCACAGTGGAAGGCTAGTGATAGAAATGATTAATAAAAAATATATTTAGGGTGAAATTAAATAATAAGGGGCCGAGTATAAGTTGCGACTAGTGTTATGGTGTCTGATGTAGAAATCACACAATATTTGTCCAGGGTGAGAATCGAACCCATAACCTCTGGCTGAGCAGTCAGGATCGCCAACCACTAAACCAACCAGCCTATCAGTTTTTCAGTTTCCCATATTTTGTTTCTTATACTCTAACCACACTTTAAATGAAACTTGGCTTCGAAAATCTACACACAAACCCCTCTATCCACTAAAATCCATTGAAAAGATCCATGAAGTTTAAAAAAATCCCTTATAGGTTAGTGGTATACGAGGAATGCTTTTTTCACTTTCTATTGCAATTTTATTGACGATACAGGAAAAATAAATCGATAAGAAATAACAAAATGATCTTAATTTATTTCTATAACCTATAAATTTATTCGATTTTTTCTAAGAAAAGCGCAACAGATATTTCTCTATTAACTAACTGCATTTGGGCATACATAATGAACTAGTCGTTTTTTTTTTCATTACGAGTTCTTTATCTTGCATCAATTATTATTAGTACTTACTTCTTTGACGTATTTCTGCATATCGCCAGTAACTAGTAAAAACGGAGCTTAAATGATATTTCGAATCATGCATGTCCTAAAAGATAAATTTATTGTAAAATCTTTTGAGGGTAATAAAATGGACCCGAAAGTGCACAAAAATCCATCACGGATCTTTTCAATGGATTTTAGTGGACATAGAGAAAAACCTATTATTTTTTATCTACATTGGTCATCATCAGCCTATCGCAGTCCACTGCTGGACATAGGCCACTTGCAAGGCCCATTGCATGCCACTTAGATCGATTTTGGGCTTCTCGCATCCAGCTCCTGCCAGCCATATTGCGCATCTACATTGATGGAACGTAAAATAATTAAAACGAGCATTACGTCAGAATTGAATAATTACGCTACGTCTGTTTTCCTGTGCATAGTGTGAATGTATCGTAGATTCACAAAATCAACGCACAACAGTTGGTAATACTATTCGTCGGCTGTATTACTTGTGATTTAGGTTTTCGCGGTAAATAATAATTTTCTTTTTTTGTCCGACTATTTATAGTCCGTCAACGTCGTGCGCGACCGTCCTCCGGGGTGACAGACGGTGGCGGGGACGAGGTACTCAAGATGTCAGCGGGTAGCGGGTGGTGAAACGGAGAAGGGAATTGTGTGTAGCCGTGTGCTAGAATGACGCGCTACCTCGCCCCCGCCACTGTCTGTCACCCCGCGGGACGGTCGCGCACGAGATTGCCGGGTTATAGTCACACAGTCAGTCGTTGCCAAACGATTAAACGATTTGGTGTAAGGTATAAAATATAATTATAATAAAGGTCGTCTAAATAAAACAAACGCTTCCAAAATTAAATAACTTCTTTTATTTCAGAGTCAAATTTGTTTCCTACATAAACGTGTTAGAATGATGACGCTGTAACATTAATTGACCATTACACTAATGGTACGCGTCGTTAGCTGTTAACGTTGGTGCACGAGTGGAGGGCCGTGAATTTAGTCCAAGCCGTGTTACTGCGGACCTCTATCGTACCATTCTTCACCAACAAACCGGGTTTATTGCATAATTTATGTAGCTAAGGCTCTCTTTAATCAGCCATCGATAGACTAAATAAGTATTTATACATTTTTCAAAGGATGGCAGCTGGCATACCCAACAGAGGCGCGCAGTATCACGGCTACACAGTAATACGGTTTTAATACAGATTTTTATTTTATAATATATATTTTTTAATAACTATGCAAATCTGTTCACAAATACCCATAAACCGAACGACGCGATCCCGAAACATTTCTGTAACATCCGAAGATAACAATAACTACACTCCACTATGGGGCAGGCGTCCGTGTACCAGACGCGTACTGGTGTACTGTAGTACGTCGCTCGTACTCGCACCCCCGCCCGTTTGCCATCGCTTTCAACTACTATCCAATGCCACAAACACCTAATTTTAATCAATAATCAACAATTATCGCCCACCTCTAACACTACACGCTTTATTTATACGATCAAGTGGAAAAATAATTTTTGATCCTCCATCAAATCAAAGTAACGTCTCCCATGATACTTTCACATGGCAAAATAAAATTTAAGGCAAAAAGTGAGAGTGCGAGAGCGGCCCGCTCGGACTTACATGCTACTGTTCAGAGCCAATTGGATTGTTCCTGTGACCTTCGCGAGGCGAAGTCTACGATCTCTACAACTAGACGTCATTAGCTCGGTGGGCCGCTCTCCCGCCCACTAACTATAAGGAAAGACAATAACTACTCTCCATACGCTTATAAGAACACTTGATAAAACAGCTTTATATTATACTACATAATTTACATTTATATTATTAGGTTTACATTTTTACACAGCAATAATAATGTTTGTAGTTTTCATTATAATATACTCTATATACTCCCGATTGCTAAATATTGTCGCATATTAAGCATGTTTTATTTATATAGACACCGCATGGTCATTGGTGTCAGCATTCATTTACATTAGCTAAATACATACTTTGAATCGTTCCTCGAATCACCCACATTTAACATCACCTTTACATATGAACAAGCTATGCAAAAGTGATCGGACCATTATTCTTTTAGAACTCGTATTAGTCACTAATTTTATTCCAAATATGTAAGTAGCCGATTACACAACTAAAACTAAGTTTCTAACTAAACTACTGAAATTTATAACATTTTTTTATGAACGGACACAATTCACAGATGTTGCAACTTCACAAAAAAAACAACTCAAATTATTTCAAAACAAGTAATCTATAAATGCTGACAATATTGTCTTTTGTTTGGAATGACACTTAACACTTTCTAAAGTTTCAAATATTGACTTTCTAAAGCATTTAAATGTGTTAGAATTTAGATGACTGATCATAATACAAATCAGACTTTACTATACAAAACGAGCGTGTTAGTAAATATAATTTTAGAAAAAAAAACAAAATAATTATGGCAAAATATTGGCGAAGTGTAGCAAATGAGCTCTCCACAAATATTTAAGATAAAAAGGTCCAATACCGTAAAACAAACACAAGCACTCAACAAACAGCCGCGAGATAATTATACTAAAACAATTCACAGTGAAAACTTAAACGTGCGGTCGCGGAGCTCGCGCCCAACACTCGCGTGGTACTGTTCGCGCAACGTTAGGACTTGACGGGAGCTAAAATGATATTTACACAAATAATGCACATAATATAAAATATTAAAAGGTATAACCATCTTAAGTATTCATTACGTTATATTCTTTATTTATTACACTATGGCATTGCAACTTTGTGACTCGGTTGCGGCTACACGTCGACTCTCGTTACAATAACACAATTTTGTTAGCGAACACAGGGAGGCTTAGGCACAGACGCCTGGTCGATGTCGTCCGCTCCGCGCGGGAGCGAGCGACGGGTTTCGCTTAAAGTTGTATCAATATATTATATTTTTACAATCACAGTATGAAAATAACGTCAGTATTGACAATAAATAACGTTCAAATGCGGAAGCATTCCGTCACTCGATGTAATTTCTACAGAGTTCAAGTGAGTCGGTAAGACGCACGGAGTCTGTAGCTAAGTCGTGCTGAGATAACATAATCTTACAAGAACATATCATAATATATGTTTTAGCAAAAACTGATACCGTCGGTAGCCGGATTCCTCGCATATTTCAACAGATAGTGCGCACACTAAAGAAATAAGAGAACACATCTCGTACGTGCAGAACGTTCAAGTATCTAATAGACTTATTTAGTTTTAGTTTAAAGTACCGAAAAATAGGTTATTAAATATAGATCGATTAGTTAATTTGTAGTGGATTGTTGGTCGAGTGGGTCGTCTCATTTCCCAGCGCGTCCAGCTATCTGCACAATACGTGTCGTGTGCGGAGTGGGAGCGTCAGCAGGCCACGGCCGGACCACTGCCGCACACGCCGCGCGGCTATTATAGGTCCCTGCGGAGCACAACACCAGTACATGTTAATTGCGACATACGTGGAAGGTACGAATGGAAGAAAATCACAATCTCCTGTGATCAATTTAAATATTAATCATATACAAAGCCCACAGTTTTTTTTATCGAAACCTCGATCTGATGAATCATTCATGCGTGAATTTGAATGATATGTCATAAATTAATGTAGTGTGATGATATTTATCATAAATTACGCTCTTTTTTGGGTATGACAATCCCATGTGACACTTTTAATATATTTTTTTTAATCAAAATTGCAACACAACAGCAATTTTAAAATTACTAACTTGTTTTTAATCGGCTTTCAAATAGAAGATTCTCAATTCAGTTATTTGTATTTATGTATATGTTACGCAATGTCGCCACGTGTGATTCGACTGCAATAATATTACTTATAATGAAATTATTTGTACTGGAAGTTGGTTCGATTTAAAAATAATAATCGAACTTCGAAGATGGAAAATCATCATCAATGGATAATCCATGAATAAGTCAATGATTGTTTATTCGCAAAGAATATAACTTATTACAAATAGTCATTATTAGGACGCATGTAAGTTTGAGATACTTCTTTAAAAATTGTTACACATCCTTAAACAAAATACATTAATAAACTTAAAATCAACAAAATACATTTTTGTGAGGAATTTATTAATGGTCATGCTTTAAAGAATTATTAAACCTTACACCTATATATATATATATTTATATACTGACCCTGACCCGGCAAATGTTGTTTTGCCATACACATTATTTCAAAAAAAAAATGTCAAAAATAAAATAAAAGATGTTGGCCGATTCTCAGACCAACCCGATATGCACACAAAATTTCACGAAAATCGGTCGAGCCGTTTCAGAACAGTTCAACCACACACACCGTGACACGAGAATTCTATGTGCTCGTATTAGATATATGTTAGTATTATGTACAAGTATGCATATATGTATGTGTTAGAGCCCGTCACCACCATATCCTGTGCAGCAGTAGTGGCATTGTGCACGTAACGTAGATGTGTTGTGTACAGACCTACCTCGTCCACTGCTGCTGCGACGTGTTGTGTGACGGGGACTGCGACGCTACCCTCTGGACCACCTGCCAAACAATATTTACTCCTTTAGTTATACATTTTCGTAACAAATGACAGACGAGACACATAATTATAACACGACGAGTAAGAGAGGTTAGCGAAGCCTCAATGCGGATGGATTTAAGCCTCTCCTTCCTTCAAATCTATCGTAGAATTAATACAACTATGCATTAGGAACATTTCCTGTAAGGTAAGGTTTTTTAGGGGACTTTACAAACATACATGAAACGAATACAAAGAACACCCAAACTTAGAAGAACAGCTTGTGACTCACACAAAGTGTTGTTCCATTCGGAGATCGAACCCACAAGACTTAGCAAACTAGCAAGCGGTGAGGTGGCCGCTTAAACTAATACGCCATCCGTGCATTTCTTACCTTTTAGTGTCGTTTTGATTTTTTTATTACGTTGTTTTGAACATTATGTTAACAAAAAAACATATCACGTACCTAGTAAGGACAAGTTAAACTACGTAAACAGTGACATTTGCAAACTGTGACATGTTTATATGACGGTTTAATGCTGAAAGGTGGCTCACTCTCCTCGAATATGGTTCATATTGGCATGCGAGACAAATTAGTATTATTCATGTTTATTTTATAATTTTATGCCATGTAGTTTACCATTTCGTGGCTTTAAACATATTTCAATTCATTTTAAAAAAAGCGTTTGGCCGTGTTCACCGTGCCTGCTCGTCACTAGCCCCGGGAGGGAATCGAACCCAGAAGGTGAGGTCAGTTTTTTTTAATAGTGGGGCAGACGAGCAGACGGGCCACTTGATGGAAAGTGACCACCGCCGCCCATGAACGGCTGCAACTCAGCAGTCACAAACGCGTAGCCGGGCCGTAGGAAGGTATCGCTGGTACCTGCTGCACGAAGGCGCGCGTGAGGTGCGGCGCGGCGCGCTCGGCGTGCTCGAAGGCGCGCCGCAGCTCGTCGATGGCGGCCGCGCTGCCCGACCCGTGCTTGCGGGACAGCTGCGGGCAGACCATTTATTTCAACTATACTCATCGCTGGCGATAACGGGACACGATAGGAAAGACCTTCTAACCCTGATAAAATCACTATTGAAGTTCAATTCTCGTAATAAAAGTTCTCACAGTTGTCACAAAAGGTATTTTCTTAGTAAAATATTGAACATCCAAAATTGACTCTGATGTGATTTTATAGTACTGTAACTGAAAATTGAATCAATAATCTGTTAATCTTAGTTTTACTTTACTATTTTACTACGAAAATACCTTTTATAACAGTTATAAGATCGAAAATTAAACGGAACTGAATTGTGACCGAACTTTTATAACGAGAATTGGTCTTCAAGTATGTTCAGTTCCTAAAAAATAGATTTAACTAAAGTAAATCAAATAAGTATCCATAATACGTAACAATCACAGAAAATATATCTAAATTAATTATAACTCAACACATCACACACACTGCAGTCTGATTCCGAATAAGGCAGAACTTGTGCTATGATAACCAGTGTTAATAAACACATTTATTTATTTCTTAATACATATTACAGATAGATAGATAGATTACACCTAAGCACGGAATAAATACCCATCTCCCACAACCTCTAACTTGGCAAACAGAATCACAGATCGACAAACCAGTCAAATTATATAAACACCTCAAATTCTGCTACTATTACCATGAAATGATATAATTTAATAAACATTCGACTAATGATGTTTATAGCAACAATGAGTAACAGATAATATGATATTGCTTATCTGTACGAGTTTTGATAACTATTATTGTTTCAAAGCAACAAATCGGAATCTATGTATTCTACTCTATTTTGTCAAAATGTTTAACAATAATTATCTTTTTTTTTATATCTACGAGAAAAGTTAAAGAAACGATAAGAGAAACTTCTTAACTATACGAATACCGAAAACTAAAAGGAGGAACATAATGATTGATGTTAAATAGACGTACCTCATTGAGAAGTGGATAAATAAGCTGTTGCAGATACGGGTGTCTCCTAGCTTTGTTCTCTTCGCTGTTAGTTCCTCTGTGGTCTAGGGGTGCCGCCTGCAACATTTTGTGTACGTATTTATTTACTGTATGTTTCTTTTCTTTTATAATAAATTTATTACTTTATTTTAAGTTACAAGCATTCTAGTGTTTATTATTTTTATTTAATACAGAACCAAATGTTTTTCAACTTTACAAAAAAGACATCGGTTTTAGTTGACAGTTAATATAGTTTTATTTTAGTATGAAATTAAAATCACTAATATAGTTTTATTTGCAATTTAGATGTGATTCCACATTTTTTGTGTGTGATATCCCAATGTTGAATGCTTTTTCTGGATGGAAAGTACTTTATATCCTTTTGAGTCCCCCTGACAATGGATGATGATCGGTCGAGTACTTCAAGCGTGAAAGCGTTAGAAGCAGACGAACTCACACAAGCAATTATAATATAATCATTAACATCTTATGCGAAGTAGTAATGTGTCTGTGACTAACGTTTTTATTATAAACTACGGAGTCCCGGTTGGTGGCGGCGTGTTCGTGACGCTCCTTGCGCTCATTGCGCTCGTTACGCTCGTTGCGCTCGTTACGCTCGTTGCGCTCGTCGCGCTCGGCACGTTCACGGTCGCGCTCTTTGCCACCGGCGCGCACCTCCGGAGCCGTCGTCGCCGCGGGAGACTGGCGCGCCTGCAAACGGGTTATATCAACGTTATTAAATGATCTTATACATTGCATCTATTGGATGGATTGGTAATTATAGTGTTATTATGCTATTTATTCTTTAAATTAAAAGATTATACAATGGTACTCGACTACATGTTTCCACTAAACAATCCGCTTCTAATATAGACAAATATTTGTGTTCAAACATTCATTATCACCGACTGAAAGACAAGTATTTTAAGCTCTTACACATTTCTGTTCTACGACGCTACATCGAGAGTGCGGCGTGGATTAAATACATATAAATATCACTAGTCATTACAATGCAATTACATTTAACATTGTTGAATAAAAATACTTCGTGCTATAACGAGCCATGGCGCCATCGGTTTAATATGCGCATGCCAGTCACTGTGATTCATTTACACGTAGATACATTTTAAAACAGTAAAGTAAATTAAAACAAATTTCCCATAGAAAAATACATAGCCTGATTAACTAGACACACAAATATCTGTACTCAGCGGTTCCATCCCGTTACCTTTTCGGGGGCAGCAAAGAATCGAATACAACACCATTCGTCATCCATTTACTTTTTTTACCTGTCACCTGTTTTTTGCTTGCATTGCTGTTACACTATGTATGTTCAGTTGGTCGAACACATTAAGCGTTAGACTAGAAATGTGTTAGAAATACTTTTCCGTACGTCTGGCGAAGTGTGTGGGAAAGTTCATGATGTATAAGTTGATTTGTTAAGGCATGAAAGCATAACAAAGGACTCATATTAGCGTTTATAGTATTAGTTAGGACTACACGTATTCTAGGGGCACAGTGTTTTAGCGCGCGCGGCTGGAGCAACCGCGGAATGCGCGCCAACGCGCTGTCGGCGCCGTTCTGCCTAGCCTCGAAGCTTGGGTCGGTAGGGACGGAGGCCACGTCACCTACCGACTGACGCAGGTACTTACTGGGCATGGCTGCGTCGGCGAGTACCTGAATCGGATTGGACGCGAAGAGACGTCACAATGCGCAGACGACTGGGACTCGCTGGAGCACACGCTGGAAGACTGCTCCGCGTGGGCGTCTAAACGCGAAATCCTAGTCGACCGAATCGGACGAGACCTGTCCCCGCCAGCAATGATTGCTGCCATGCTGGCGGGTGAGGAGGGCTGGGGCGCAGTAGTCTCTTTCTGTGAAGCTGTAATGCTCCAGAAAGAGACCGCTGAACGGGATCGGGAGAGGGCCGATCTCGAGCGTAGAGGACGTCGGCGGCGGTACCAGCCGTTGACGTGGCCGCAGGCTGCCAGAGGTAGGGGACCTCTGGTGGCACTTTAACTGCTGCGGTAGGCGATAGGATGGCGGCCCGGTCGCAAAAATGCGATCGGGCCGCAATACTTTATAACGATTGGGCCGATAGGCGGGGGAAACGCGCAACTTCCCCCCGCACCCCGTCAACACAAAAAAGGGGGCCCTAGTGAGTTTATAATAATAATACTATTTCGAACATTTAACGCAACGCCATTTAGTTTCAAACTAAGCAGAGCTTGTACTACGAAAGCTAGATTAATTGATGGAATACTTATATACTTTTTGTTTGTAGAAAACATATAAACTCCGAAACAAATATTTGCAGATCATACAAACATTTGGTCTAACTTGGGAATCAAACCCGAGACCTCAGCACAGCAGCCGCATACGCTACCGCTGCACCACCGAGGCACACACACATAAATATATATAATATCACATTAACTCGCGTTCAGCTTTGCGATGGAGATTTCAGTGCGGGCCAATCGCACTGCCGACACCGATACCTTGACGAGCGCGTTGATGTGAAATAAGCTGACACTAGTAAGCGGCAGTAGTGGTAGCGGTACATACGGGGTGCTTGTCCGTGTTGTTGTTGTTGGCGATGGGCGGCAGCGCGGGCGGCACGTCGGGCACGTCGGCGGCGCTGGGCCGCGCCGCGCCGTTGGTGCGCCCCGCGCCCACCGCCGCGCTGCTCACCACCGCCGTCGGCGAAGGCACTGCAACAACACACGTTAACTATGTAAACGAAATCCATACAAGCCTCTTCTCAACTATGAATCTAATTTTAATTAACGACCATCAAATGTCTGCCTAGTATAACAATATGCCTGGTATTTTTTGTAAAACGGAACAGAAAGTATTATTCTGTCGTTACAAATAAACAAGGGGCAGTAAACACGCTTACGAGCTTCCCTGGTGTTTGATTTTGACATCACCTTGCGTGAAAATATCAAGAAAGGAAACCTGACCTGATGGAAAGCGACTACCGCCGCCTATGAACGCCTGTTGTTACATCTTAACAATTTGTTTTATATGAATCCTCGCATATAGCAGAGAGTATATCTAAGGAAACTTGCCCTACCGAGTGATGTTGTAAATAAATATAAGCTACAAGTGTATATTGCGTTACCAGTATCATCTTGATGGTGCCTGCGATTGTTGTCATGCTGGAGAGCGCGCGCGGCGGCCCCACCCCGCACCGTCATGATCCAGGGCTCGTCCGCCTCACCGTCACCGCTCCGGCATTCTTCACTGTAACACAAACAGCCAGTTCTCAAAACGATGACTCAACAACAGGACTTTCCAAATAGGAAGCAAACCACTAATGTTATAATGAGAATAGATATATATATGTATATATTTAAATTAATTTATAATATTTAATCGATATATTGAAAATGACTATATTTTGAATCACACATCTATAATACTTATGTTCAAGAAGAAAACGAATAAAACTCAAGACGAAACAAGTATTATATATGTGTAAATTAAGTCTAGCCAAGAAAAACTTCTAATTCCATTACTGTTTGAAATGTTCTTAAATATATAAAATGGATACTAACGAATCTGAATTCTCCGACTCGGTTTCGCTTTCCTCGCTCCGCTGAGCCTTCCATTTCTTATACCTATCTATAAGATCCATTAGATAAGAATTCTTCTTTGCCTTCCTGATGAACTGGAACTTTAGTAACTCCTTAGCAGTTGGTCTCTGAAATAATTCAGTAAAGAATATAAAACACAATTGTCAAATAATATTATATTACAGCTCATAACAACAAAACTGAACTGAACTACTTATAAATTACAATTTAATACATTTACACATTATTAGTCTACAACTGTAAACAAATCATGCAACATCAATTCTGCCGATCGTCGAAACTAATCTAGAAAAAAACTTACATTTTCTGGATCCTTATTCAAGCACGCCTCAACGAACTCTTTGAATGGTTTTGAGTAACTACCCGTGAGTTGAGGAGGGTTATTCTTGGGGATGAGGAAGAGCACCCTCATGGGATGTAGTTCGGAGTTGGGCGGTTCACCCTTCGCTAGTTCAATAGCTGTGATGCCCAATGACCAGATATCCGCTTTGCTGTCGTAACACGACTGTTTAATCACTTCGGGTGCCATCCAGAATGGAGTGCCGACAAATGTGTTCCTTTTGCTGGTTGTGTTCGTCAATTGACCCGCTACACCTGAAATCCATATATAAAGTATTGAATAAATAAATAAAAACCATGTCTAAAAACATCTTTATCATATTGTCTGTATGTACTTAGTATACCTACGTATATGTTTATATCACACTGTCTACGAATGGCTATAAGCACTTATAAGTGAACGTAAATACGAGTAGATGACCTTTTATTATGAGCACGTTTCGAATTATTATTTACAGATTCTGGGACAGTTATGTTCTCAAACAACTGTCAAAAAGAAAACAGATTGAATAAATGATTTTGTTAGTAGCGGGCTACAACCTCAATTTCTACATATTCGATTCCTCTATTCTATTCCTGATAAAATCAATCCACAAGGAAAATTATTTGTTTTTCTTTAACATGATTTAGATCAAAACGTATTAGAAAAAACGTGAATACTAAAATTACACTTTTCACCACCGAGACAGCATATCGATTTTATTTATAATTAAACTTAACTTAACTTCAAAGAAAAACAGCAGTCATAAAATTTACCGCTTCGAAATTGCACACGGTGTGTGTTCGTAAAGGTTTATCATAAAATTAACGTCATACTGGGTTTTTGGTGAATCATAACGGTTTTGTGGTTTTATTAACACCCTAAAGGTAAAAGTGATACACGTACCCGTATCACAATCAAAGAAAGCTTCTATTTATGTGTTCCGCACGAAGAATATATTTTTTCATAATGCTTGTCTTGTCATCAGAAAGTAGGCAGACGTCCTTTTTCCCTTGAAAATCCTTTAGTGAGATATAAGATGGTATTATGTTTATCCGATCAAGAAAGTATAAACAGTTTCACATAATACGATTTTTAAGGAAAATATTTTAAGGTATTATAGTTTTTAATATGACTTTGAAATTCAAGACACTTGTTTTTACTTTGAAATAAACTGGAGAAACTACTATCAGTTGCTACTTACAACTAGCGGTTGAAACTTATAAATTACATTATTATATTAAAATGTATACGATGTCCTTGTCAATAAATCCCAAACCTTGTTAATTTATTACGATTTCTAGAGAAAATAAGCAAAAATTTAAGCAAAATGCCATTCTAAGTTTAATTTTTGTCAACTCAACAAAATGTGTAAACACCGTCGTGATTGTACAATGCGATTTTAATTATACTGGATTTGCCATTAACTGACACAATTTGTCGGATTCCAATGTTAAAGTGATCGGTAAACAAACAAACCGGTGAACATCTCTGTCTGTCATCTGTTTGAAGAGAAAGACTTTACACTGTACAGCGTGGCAAAATGGCGTTCCCCATTTACTTTGGCACCGTTCGAAGTTCAGACGGTTCAAACATTGGACTGCGGCCAACATTTAATGGCAATAATACGAGCTAAGTTATAATGCAAGCGAACACATAGTATTTCCTTAATCTTTTGGTGAACTACATTTTGCGATATAATTTCGCTTTTTCGTATTATACAAATCTTTGTGAGATGAAATGAAGAACTTAGACAGGATACACCTCTTTATGATGCTTTTGTGGGTACAAATAACATTAACAATCACTTGACAAAGCCCTCTTGAGAAATAAGCAAATCCAATCAGAAATGAAATCTAAAGAAACTTTAGTCTGCGACAGGAAATCCCCTCAAGACCGCTGATTTCATTTTAAGAGATACAATCTCTTAGCCTGTCAAAAATTCTTAGAATATTTTCGTCCGCCCTTTCATTATATCCCGTGACAACGGTTCAAGAGTTGTGTGATGTTAACGACGCTCTTTATATTGCAATTAAGGTTGGGACGCTGGTTAATGAAAAAAAGGTATTTTGCCTTGAAGAGATAAAATATATTGGAAATAAGTATACAAAAACTTATCATTTCGACTCTTCAATTTTTTTTGCGTATCTCGGCGTTACCAGACGGTGTTCCATTACCGAGGTATACCTATTACAGAGTACTCGTCAGCCATCACCGTGTATCAGGCTGGTTCTATATTGGGTGAGGATGGCTGGGGCGCAGTGGTATCTTTCTGTGAAGCTGTAATGCTCCAGAAAGAGACCGCTGAACGGGATCGGGAGAGGGCCGATCCCGAGCGAAAAAGACGTCGGCGGCGGAATGAGCAGCGGACGGGAACGCGGGCCGCCAGAGTGGGGACTTCTGGTGGCAGAATAATGGCTGCGGTAGGGGATAGGAGGGCAGCCTGATCGCACTGAAATTGTGACCGGGCCGCAAGGCTGATAGGCAGGAAGAAGCCACTGGCCTTCCCTGAGATGGGGCCTAGTTAGGTGCGGTGTCGATCTGGGGGGACCTGAAATCACATGCCCCGGGTTCTCCCCAGAGCAGGGCGCCTAAGGCTGGCCGTCGGAGTGGTTTTTAGTGGAAACACCACATACTCTTGCAATCTAAAAGGTATATTATAGCAACTGAGTCAGATAGTGGGCGAGCAAGACATAGACGTAAGTAAGGGCAGTTTTATTTACCTTTTTGCATAGGTAGAAATGTGTAGATGTTTTTAAATAATTTGCATACAAAATTCACTAGTTTTTTGTTGGAGACAACATACATTTTAGTAGACAGTTTTACAAAAAATGTAATTTATTTTTTTACGATACGGCCTACACTGTCTGTATGGATACAGATTATTACGATTTTATACTAAAGAAGCTGAATATGAACTCTTTAAAACTGCAAACAGAATTAGAATCGGAGCAGAGATATATTTTAAAGGAATAAAAATGATTTTTTTAAGAAAACTATAAAGATTTAATTATTCCGAAAACTTTCAACTATTGGATATTACAATATGGGGCATATACATACCCTATGACCTTTTAAAATAATCTTGTCTAATTACGAATAACCCTGTATTATATATAAAACCGCACCTCAGCATTGAATCGCTCTAAATGTAACGTCCGGTGTGTTTCTAAGTTACATTTTCACTGTCAATGGTTTTTGTGTTGGAAACTCATGCATCATTTGTTTTATGAGCGTAGTAGCGAGCATCTATCCGTTGCAATTATATTAGAAACTCAAATCACTGCTGCATGTAGCATCACGAGACGAGGCTTGGTAGAGATCTTTCAAAACAATGCTAAAGAAAGTTGTTTACACCTCGGTCATTCTTGAAGATTGTAATAACGCGTCAAATATCGCACACCTTAAAAAATTGTCCCCACTTTATTGAATGTTGTGATAAAAGAAACATCCAACTTTCTTTTTAAATAATTTTATTTTGAAATAAACCCAATTGAATCCAGTAACATGCAGAAGAAAAAAATGTGCTATCATTTTTTAGTTCGATAAATTCAAATACAGTAGATGTAACACGACTCGTGTCGACGATTGCACGTTTGTACTTTCAGCTATATTCCGCGCGTAGTAAGTTTTTCTTTATCAACAACTACACATCACATCAAATCGATTTTAGGGCTCCAATTACTGAATAAGAGACCTAAGGTTTACGTTACGTTACGTTTCAGATTGAAATAAGGTTTTTGTCTTGTTTATTATTTTAGAAATGTGTTTAAGTCGTGGTCTTTTTCTAGTTACAAATAGATACATATATAAATACTAACCGAAGTCAGCTAGCTTTACGTCGCCCATTTCGCTAAGCAGTACATTAGCAGCCTTGATATCCCTGTGCAGTTTTCTTTCCGAGTGCAGGTAGTCGAGACCTCGTAATACCTCTCGGAGTATTACAGCTATGTGCATTTCTTCAAAACTGCCAGCTTTCATCAGGTCCAACGCCGACCCGCCACCCAGGTACTCCATTATGATCCATAGTTTTGTTCCCTGAAAAAAGGAAAGTGCGTGTCTTATATTTCCATGTGTATATTGATCTAAAACATACATAGAGCTACGTAATAACTGCAGACGTTATTTAGCACAATTTTACTTTTATGATAATTTTTAACTATTAACCATTTACAATAATTAAATTCTAGAACCTAAAATATCCTTTCTGGTAGGTTAAAAACACATAATAAATACAACACATACAAATAATAAATAAAAACTAGTTCAAATGGTTACATACCAAAACTACATTTATTCAGAATTCTAAGAATATAAATTTTTGTTGTAGTAATTGATACTCGTCATTGCTTTTATTCTAAAAATATTACCGCAAATTTTTACATACAGATACTGAATGCTAGAACTTTCATTGAAGTCTCGGATAAAGAGAATGACTTCAATAATGCCCTATGCTTCCTCAAAGGCCTTAGAACCCCGTCCAATAAAGAGGAAACGTTTTGTTTAGCTTTGATCTTTATCGTACATTTTAAAGACGTAATATCGCAATTCATAAATGCCTCTTGTAAGGAACACTTTTGTACTTAACAAAATTCACGTTTAAACCTCTAGTAATAATTTATAACGAACAAAATATAATTTATTGTCAAAGTTTACAACGAATGAGAGTAACTTTTGTTCGAGATGTTGTTAAAACTGATGTAAGTATTCAAGTTCTGACATTTATTGATTGTGCAAACTCGAACGCCCTGTACATACGTAACCATTTATTTCCTTTTGTTATGTTTTAACTCGGGGAGTTGGGTATAATGACGTGAAACAAAGAAAGAAAGGCTTTTAAATAATACAAGTGGAGCGTTCAATGTAAACTGTTTTGTTCGGTATTACATTGCCTACCTACCTATCACCTACTTAATGTTTGTATCGTAAAATTTCTTGTAAAACCTAATTTAAATTTGCTACTCATTAATATACTGTTTTTTCCTATTAATTTTTTTGTTAGAACAAGAAATTAAAGATACGGGATCCGTGTTTACATCAAAACCTACGCATTTATCTGTATTACTGTAGTTTTCATCTCATATTTTACGTTCAAGGTTATTAAATTTCTAGAGTTAAGTAATTAATATAGAGGCTCCGGCATATGCACATGCATTAATATTTCTAGATAAATGTATAGAGAAGCACATGCAGTAATGCAATGTGGAAGACGACAATGGGTGCACCGGAGCATGGATCCGGTGCGACCCATTCACGCTCCATCAGCTAACGCGTCCACATACATATGTCAGGATTTATTATATTTGAAAGTAAACAAATACCGTACACCTTAGTGTACGGTATTTGTTTACTACCTTTAGTTGGTGATGGTGCTTAACACCATCACCAACTAAAGGCAATAACTATATAAATTCAACACCAATTAATTAATTATAATACTACCAATGATGTGGGGTTTAAGTAAAATTAGTTCCGTATGTGAAAATGAGAAAGAATAAAAAAATGTAAGGGATAAGTATCCCTAAACTGCTGGAATCATCAGAAAATTTATAGCTTTGTAATACCTGATAGGTGTGTATTACGTGTTACGCGTACGTTTAAATTAAACAAAACAAAAAATATATGCACAAAAAAATAATTTATTTAAGCGAAATCGATTAAAATGCATAATCTGCTATGTATTGTAGCTTAATTTCATTAATTAATTAATTAATTAAAGCTTGTTGCTGTATACATCCCTAAAAAGACATATCTAAATCTATACAACATACATTCAGACACCGCTCGTCCAATATAAAGATGATGAACGCAATTTCCATTGAAAATAGAAAGACAAATGTTTCCATTCCTTGCTATTGCTTCTGTCGTAGATCCAAACGAAGTGGATATAAATATCTCGAAGAATAATATTAAGTAAAACAAGAGAGGCATACTATGCCAGCAATAACAAAGGGTATTATTATATAAGCAAAGGTAGGTTATTATTAAAAGGAATTGGCGCACGGTACATGTATTTCTCATAAAGGACTAAGTAATGGAAGAAAAAATAAAAATGCAAGATTCATTGAACTACCATCACAGGGATACCGCAAAATATGTGATTCGGAACGTACACCACGCTTTCGCATACAAAACACACAATTGGAACTGTAGTAATATATACATAACTTTCTTGGGGTTTACCAATATCATTTAGGAAATTTCATTAATGACTTAATGAGCAGATTTATAATTTTAGGCCTTGCCATTATTAGGATGCTTAAATAAGAAATTTCGCGAATGTGTTACCTTAGATACGTACTACACTATTCTAAAAATATTTTGTGTTTTATTTGTATCTTTTGCTATAAACTGTTTTTACAAACCAACGAACTTATAAAATAATTAATGAAACATAAACTTTTATTTTTGTAACCATTTACGTTTAATTCTACTCTTTAATAATTTAGAAGAAATATTATTATTGGATATATTACATATATATAGTGCCTTCCTGTATATTTATAGTAACAATTATAAAATGTTTAAACATCCAGGAACGCGTTCGAGAATACAGTTAATCAATACTTACATAGAAATAAAACAACTAACTAATAAGGCCTCAACATACTGTATATGTACTGCCTTGAAAGCTTATTATGAATAAGCTTTTTCAAGGCAGTAACCAAAGGCATATTACATATACATCGTGTAGGTATTCGTTGCCATAGCAACTATAAGGCGTCGGTCAAAGACCTCGGCGTCGCGACATCCACTAAGTAAAACAAGAGAGTTGCACTATTAATCCCAGGGAATTTTAAGCAGGGGTAGTTCTGAGACGAGAATCTATCTAAAGGCATTTCAAGTCCCCCACTTTGTATGTAGAGTTCATTAATATTTTACTTACAAATGTACTTTGAAATACACAATTTAAGTAAGTAATCATACAAAAAAATCGAAAAACCTTGTTACGGTAATTCAAACACACGCCAATAAACCAATATCTAAATTCTAACAGGTGGAGTCTTTCGTCAATCGTTAAATTAAGTCGCCCTAATAACTCCCAATTCGAGATACAGGGGTGAAATCTTGTTTTATGTATGTATGAAAAGGGGGGTTACATTTTTACAAACGATCGTTACATTGAGAATATTGCTAAGTTACGTCTAACTGAAGTTTTAATAAGATGTTGAAAGCTTGCCTCAAACAAAATTTTTACTTTCAAGGTAGTCTTTCAACAAAGGCGTATTAAAAAGACTAAAAGGTGTTTAATTAGGAAAGTATACGATTCTACAAAGTTGTTAATTTATTAGAACTTCAAGCATTATTATGAAGCGCCATTATTAAAAGGCTGAATATTAAAACACAATTTTTTTGATTAAATTACGATAATAGCGTCGAGTGAAAAAGGCTTACTATCGGTTTTAAAGATTACTTAAGCATTCTACTGTGTATAGTTCAAATTTAAAATAAAACCAGAAATATTAGATTAACTATTGTATAAAATTTATTTTGATTAACCTCCGTTATCATTTATTGTAGCGTGCTTAACATAAGTGGTCTAGTCTCTAGTGATTTAAACATGCACATTATATCTACTTAGAAGTTTTTTATTCTTACATTAATCATGCGTCATGATTATATGTTAATAAATAATGATTTTTAAGTACCTACACATGTGAATTGATAACTTGTTGATCAAATACATTTATATTATGTTATCTCTGAAAGACATAATACATAAGTGGTACATTTGTGTGTACACCTTGACATAGGGTACATTTCTTGCATCTGGCAGGACTTTAAAAATCTACTACTTCCCGTGTCGTAGAGAACCAGACAATTTGCTGAGAATCAGTACCAGTAGTCTATGAGCATTTCTGTCCACAGGTTTCAGTCGTAGGAAACCAGTCTGCTTGTTGTACCGCTGTTGGTCATCTACCCGCTGCCGTAATGCATTACTAGTGTATGAGATTTTGCCCACGGCTCCGCTCGTGTGAAAGTAGATATATTCAATGAATTCACATACTTTATCTATAATATATTGTACCTATTTAGAAATAAAGGGTTTCGCCGTAAGAGTGCACTTTTTCATTATAAAATAAAACACGTATTTTATGAGAGTTGTGATATTTATATTGGATTGTAAAGAAGACATGTTCCGATTAGGTATGGAATAAAATATCCGGCAAATGGCCCCCGCGGCTCTGATGACAGGCCATTGCTGTTTTAATTAAATTTTCCATGACTTTTACACAGAGATGTGGCTGTATATCACCGATGAAGCGTTGGATCTCTGATTTGAGCTCAGGTTTCTGGTTTATTCCTATAAACCCGAGATTTCAAAAACACATTTCAAACCACAAAGAAAAAAATCGCACGGCGTTAAATCACACGATCTTTGTGACCAGTTAACATCAGAATTTGGCGCCGTCCTGCTGAAACCACATGTTGTCCAAATGCATGCCGTCCAGTTGAGACCACAAGAACTCCGTTATCATATTCCTGTATAGAATGCCGTTCACAGTCACTGCGATTTCGGCCTCATATAAAAAGTAAGGCCCAATCACGCCGCCTGACCAAAATACGCACCCGACAGTTTCTCATTTGTTTCTCATGGATTGCATGAGGATTTTCTGAGCCCCAAATTCAACAATTTTGTGTATTTACATAGCCATTCAGATGGAAATGCGCTTCATCGGAGAAGATGACTTTTTTCAAAAAATTGGCATCACCTTCACTTTACTCCATTACCGGTTGAACGAATTGCCGGCGCTTTCTATGGTCTGCTGGTTTGAGCTCCTGAGTTAGCTGAATCTTGTACGCATGAAGGTCTTTTGCCAAAATTCGCTGCGTAGTGCTTCGTGACATTTGAAGTTGTTAAGAACGATGCCACTATAGCGATAGCGATATATAGATAGCGACACTCGTTTACAGCAGTAATGTTTTTAAGAGACCGAGCGGTACGTTGACGCAAAGGTAAAATCCTTTGCGTCAACGTACCGCTCAGTCTCTTATATTATTATATGCATAATCGACCCAGTTTCTTTAAATTTTTG